TACTGATCTATCTTAACTGTATCAATCAACTATTCACTTTCTTTCTACACTTTTGATTTTCTATAATCATGGGTGTGAGTGTAGGTATGGATTATGATTTTCTTTTGAAGGACACCCACAACCAAATCGTCTACCTATTGTCTGCTTTTTTGTTACTTTCACGCTATTGTGACATGTAACAGACTGTAGATCTTGACATAATTTACTCAATGAATGCTACTAATAATCTTGATATATCAGCTTTCACTTTTGAATTACTTTGCCTCTATTTCTTTAATACAAAAAAGGCCGCAAGGTGAATAAATAATATTTCTAATCTGTGTCTATGAAATCAGTAGATAAAATCCAGAAAGCTTAACATCATTGGTTCAAAATTTCGTAATTCATCTTACTGAAAGAGTTTCTCTTTGTTGTCGAATCAAATTGCTTTAAATATGAGGAGTAAGGAAGAAGTTTTCATTAAAACGTTGCGCCGATGAACATATTGTTCTACACATCTAAAAAAACAAAATCGTTCTCACGAAATCCATAAATAGTGAGTCCAGCGGAGAAAAAATCTTTATTCAAGATCTTTCATGTTCGAATTCTACGCGGCATGGAAAATGAAAAATATCGATTGGTGTTCAAGCTTGCTCCGAATTTTGGTTAGCATCTATGCTTCTTTGTTTGTTCAAAATTCTTGAAAATTAATTACGAACAAGTAGGATCAATATTGTACTACTATAGTATTTGATGAGCAACGTTATCTTCGTCAACATTTTTGAAAAGCTTGTAGTTTACTTAATGAATAAACGAAACAATTTTGACCCATTCAAACACGTTATTCGCACTTGTACTAAAATATCTTAATTGCTTTTTGAAATGAGAGAACTAGAAATTTAACACACATGAAGAAAACTCCACAAACAAACTTTCTGAAGGATTCTGATAGAAGTCACATATTGTCTGACAAATCCAGACCAAAGCTGTACAGCATCTAAAATATTATCGTAAAGAAACCTTGTATATCTGCAAGATGCTGATGGTAACTACAGATTTTTCTGAAATTCTGACAGACAGTTTGTTAAAAATTATTCTGACACAGCTCAAAAAGCTGAAAGTCAATCCGTAGGTAACAAACTTCTCATCAGGAAGTCTACTTGCACAGACGAAAGAACACATTTTCTCAATCGACCACGTGCTTTCGTTTGTCGCTTGCTTGTTTTCGTTGTTTGATAGAAAGATTGCTATAATCCCATCACAATTCTTCTCTCAGTTATATTCTTTCATAATCGCTTACCCGATTTAAAAAAAGTATCACCTATCTATTGACTTAATTTAATAAATACGCAAGTAAAGTTAGCACCAGATTCGCGTATTTCTTGGCCCGATTCGCTTTCTTACCTGTGTTATCTCTCTAGACACTTGTGTTAGGTGCAAAATTTTAAACTCTATCGAACGGTATCGGTTTCAACCAGAGTCACCGGGCAAAAACCCATCACTTTTCCCGAAATACTGCCTTATTCCCTGTGTCACAACACCCGATATTATGTATTTTTTGTCCGGATACGCTCTACGACTTGTGTTGGCTCTCTCATTTAGTGTGTTGGGTGCGGAATTTAATTCTCCATCCGATGGTACTATTTCCAATAGGTGTCATCGGGTAAAAACTGGGGATTATACCCCAAATACTAGGTTCAAGACCGGTTCTTGAGCAAAATCCTTGTTCGGATTCGCTATAACACTTGTGTTAGCTCTCTCATTGGTTGTGTTGGATGCAGAATTTAATTATCTATCCGACGGTACAATTTGCAACTCGTTTTATCGGGCAAAAACTGGGAACTATACCCCAAATACTAGGTCAAAGACGAGATCTTGGGTATAATCCTTGTCCGGATTCACCCTACGACTTGTGTTAGCTTTCTCGCTGAGTGTGTTGGATTCAGAATTTAATTCTCCATCCGATGGTACTATATCTAACTGGTGTTATCTCGCAAAAACTGAGGGTTATACCGCAAATATTAGGTCCCAGAGAGGATCTGCGGTATAGAGCTTTTCCTGACAATAATCTGATACTATTCAGTTTTACGCTTGCGCTTAATTTTAATATTGTTCCATGTGCATAACTACTGTTCTTGTTCTGAGTGTTGATATTTCATGCTACTTACTGTAACTATCGTGCATGGTTCTAATAAGCAAATTCATTAAAACTTAGCGCTCGTTATTTTTCTATTTTATTAACTTGAGTTTTTGCTATTAGTACTATTTATCAAAATCAATGCTTTAAACCGATATTGTTTCCTAGAATGCTTGCACACAAATGTCACAACTAAAGTATGCTTTCTTTTCCCTTACTTCATCACAACTGTTCAAATTTCTTCGTTGAAAAAAATAACCATACCTCTGCATTAACCAATTTGAATTCATATGTGATTTTGAAAGCTGAGCGAAATCTCAACTGTCTACTCTCATCAATACTACTCATCACCTACCAAGAGAAAGGCGAATGAAATACATCAATAATTTGAGAGAAGCTCACATACACAGGCAAAACTTCAGAAAAGTCTATCCGTATGCCACCAATATCATACATATCGTGTATAGCTTCTAACCATAGGTACGCAGCATGAGGGAAGATGATTCTTCAAGCCCACTATTAATAACACTAATATCCCCCCCACCAGATCATTATATTATGAATGACCTAAGCTCCGACTTCGATGGACTACAAATAAACCTTTCCAAAATGAAAATTCCTATCAACCGATAACGAATATTCCTGTGCGCATCAACATTCATGAGAATTCAAAAAACATTCACCGTCAAAAAAACATTCTTTCATTACTTTCTAAAAATCTGAAAACCGAATACTCAAAACCATTTGCCCTTACACAAAGCATGACCATAGTGCTACCAAACCACCCTGATCTACCCTCCAACACCATGCTGCTACCTTCAAGATATTGGACAAAACAGATATTCTTCCTTCGCTCTTACCCATGAAATTCTACCATTTCGAACTGAGTAAACTTTCTCATAACACACATTCCATAAAACACCGAAAACAACATGCACAGAAAAACCGTAGAAAGATCAAATTGAATCTGCTCTTAGACCAGTATTTCCGGGAAACCCCGTGGTTTTTGCCCCATCACACAACCTGAAAACAGCGCCATCAAAGAGAGAATTAAATTCTGCATCCAACACACTCAACGAGAAAGCTAACACAAGTCGTAGAGCGAATCCGGGCAAGGATCATACCCAAGATCTGGCCTTTGGCCTAGTATTTGGGGTATAGTCCCCAGCTTTTGCCCGATAACACGAGTTGCAAATTATACCGTCGGATAGAGAATTAAATTCTGCATCCAACACACTCAATGAGAGAGTCAACACAAGTCGTAGAGCGAATCCGGAGAAGAAAATACATAATATCAGGTGTTCTTACACGGAATAGGGCAGTATTTCAGGGAAAGTGATGGGTTTTTGTCCGATGACTCTGGTTGAAACCGGTACCGTTCGATAGAGCTTAAAATTCTGCACCTAACACAAGTGTCTAGAGAGATAACACAGATAAGAAAGCGAATCGAGGCAAGAAATACGCGAATCTAGTGCTAACTTTACTTACGTTAATAGAAGGCCATGACTTTTTTATTCTGAAAAGATTTAGTTGAAAACGAATATTATATTCTCGTTACTTGTGTCCACAATAATAGTCTTCGTTCTGTTCCTATTCCTATATCTGTTCTCTAAAGATTATACTTCACTAAGGATGCACGAAAAAACATAAAAATATTGAACTCAACGTTTTGAAAGAGTTGATGACGTCAGAGATTAAGACGAGCTATGTTCGGATATTTATTATGCGTGAAGAAATCGCTATCATAGTATAGGCAAGTGGTGTAATGATTTATGCATCTCTGATAGGTTTTTGTATTATGATTGATTTAACTATCAGTCTAACTTGCTGCGTACATCCATTTAATGAATCTATAACGACTCTCAATGCATCGTTCTGAATCCTAATAAACATAGAAACTTTTATATTGCTTATTGTTAAAAGTTAAAATTTTGTTATGCCATACTTTCGGTGTTGGCTATAGACCAACTGTACCCAATCGACATACCATTGGCCATTATTATTCACATCTACCATAGAATAATTTATCTGCCCCTAAGTTCAAAAATGTATTATAAACATTTAGAGTTCAAGACAAATTTCGGAATATCCCAAATTGTTCTAGAAAATTTGAAAGTATAGATTTTACTGTTGTTCAGTGTTTTCTCCATTGCTCAGAAACTCTAGGAAGGGATCTTGCTCCTACTGCTTGAGTACTAGAGAAAGTTACTCATGGATCATTAAGTCCGATGGATCTGAAGGAAGTATGAATTAGGAGGGCAAGCCACAAAATTTCGACTTCAATCTTAAACTCATCATTTTTCTTCGATAACAGATTTCAGCGCCACAAAACAATGATGAATTGACGTAGCTTGAAAACTTGAATGAGCAATGAATGATGTAAAACGAAAATATCGAATGAATGAATTGTTTCTCAAGTGCAAAAATTCTATTGAGTTAGCAATTATTGAAAAATATATGAAAATCTTTCGGTGTATCCTGTACAAACACGTTTCATTCATATTTGTCGAATAAGAAGTTGATACCGTTTTTAAGAGTGAGATAAATTTTTCGTATAATATCATACGAAATAGTGTCATCTTATTTACACGAAACATAAGTATATCGATTTAAAAACGAATCAATCAAATTTTTGACTACGAAGCGTCAATGAAAAGTTGTTTTTACAGATAGAAAAGAAATCATTTATTCAAAGGAAAAGAGTGATTTAAAAAAATAAATAAATAATGAAAAATTCAATGCCTAAAAGTGATCATTACTTAATCTTTGTATTTTCTGTTGTATTATTCGCTATTAAATTAGAGAAAAAAAAAGAAAAAGAGTACTATTACAAAAAAAAGCGATTGTAAAATCTATTATATTGAATTTATTTTTTAATGGAATATCATGCTGCTAACTCTTTCTCAATAAGTTGAATACAATGAACAAGTCCATTCTCATCTTTAATTAATTGACTAATTTTTTCAGTATTATTTCTATAGATTGTATAATTATTGACAATGTCCTGAATAGCATTGCCTAAGTTTTTAACATTCATTTGACGTATGGGAATAGGTTTTGGTCCTAATTTATTAATAAATACTCTATCACCATTAAATGGTTGATCAGCTCCAAAAGGTAATATTAATGTTGGTAATCCATATCGTAAACTTGTATGAGTAGTACCAGCACCTCCATGATGAATAGCTAAAGACATTTTTGGAAATAACCATGCATGTGAAATATTTTGTTTTAAATAGAATATGTTTTCATTATCAAATAATTTATTTTCATCAATATTTTGAAAACCAACTAATGATATAATTGCTTTAGAATTAGTATTTCGAATAGCCATTTGAATATTTGTTAAAAATTGTGATTGTTTATCTATACTGAACATAATACTCATCATCGATCCAATACCAACATAAATTATCTTTTCATTTTTCCATTTATTTAAAAAATCACATAGATCATTTGATGGTTGAAAATCATCATTTTCTTCTTCAATAATTGGACCAACCATAAATTCATTTTCAGACCAATCATTTGGTCGTGGAAGTAAATATTTTGAATAAATCGTTGCAGTTAACATTGGTCTTTCAAAAATGGATTTTATCATTGCATCATAATTTAATTTAATTGGTGGTAAATTAATATTAGTACGAAGTTGATTTATTTTATCATTATACATAGTTGATGCACCGAATTCAAACATTTTCCATTTAAATGAGTTAATCCAATTAAATAAACTTTCACTTTGTCCACCTAAAGCAGGTGGAGCAAATTGATTTGTACGTGTACAAGGATATGTATATATTCCAATAGCTTTCGTGTTTGGATATTTTTCAATACAACTTAATCCAGCTATAACAGATGTTACTGATAAAACAATTAAATCAGCATCTTTTAAACCAGATACAATGCCATTAAACCATTCTTCCATTAACGGTAAAAAGACACGTTTAACTAAACCCATTTTAAAAACACTTGGATTTCGTTGAAGTTCAATACCATCAGGCGTTGTAGATAAAATTATTTCCATGTCACCACCAATTTCAACTGTATCAATACCTGTAATATAAAAAGTTTTTTTCAACTAATTCTTAAAGTTTTCTCATTCTCTCTTGTAATGATCCTAATGTATATATAGGATACTTAGTTGTGATGAATGAAGTGTCAAAATTGCTCAATTCTTTTTTTACATAATTCAGTAAATTTGAACTACACGTATTTTTTTCGATAAAAATCTTTTTCTTTTCTTTTATAAAAGTATATATATATATTTATGAGTCAATGGAATTATTGTGAGTCGGTGACACACTCAAACATATAGTTTCATCACAAAAGAAGATTGAATATGCGAAAAACAATTTCTTACCATCTTCTTTTATTTGCTCTTCAAAACGTTTGTGTACACCAAGCCATACAATATGACCTTGTTTTTTAAGTTCTTTGGCAAGAATTAAATATGGTTTGACATCTCCTAAAGAACCAATAGCCGGTATAAAAATTCGTTTACCTAATTTTCTCGTATTGTTATCATTATCAAGTTCGAGTATAGCACTTGCCATCTGCTTTGACCTTTTAACAAGTTTTTAAAAATATTTATGTATCTACAATGACTGGTAAATAAACTTTTATAAAAAGTATGATTATGTTTTAGAATGTATGACGTGTATCAAATATTAGTAACTAAGAAAATAGTAGAAGCAGAGACTATTTTGATATGATGAAAACTATTTCATGTGACTATCGCTAAATAATTAAAATAAAAAACAAAAAAAAATGATATAATATAACCTTTGAAGAACACGACAAATAAAAAACAAAATATGCGACTCTATCAAAAGTAAATAATGATACGATGAATTATTTCACATATAATTTATGAATATTTTAATAGAAACTATACTGAAAAAGAACAAAAAGGATAAAAGAAATGGTTGAACTTAATTCTAAGCAAGCGTGGTATTATTTTTGTCTATTACGAAAAATAATATTTTATTTAAGACGAAATTTATTTTGTGCATTCTAACAAATAAATATTATCTTTATGATGTAGGTACGAATATTCATTTTCATTTCGATCCTGATATCTACCCAGATATTCACATACATCCTACATTTGTTGCTTACTTCAAGGTATACAGTTATTGATTAGCAAAATTAAAATAGGTTATACGTATAGAACAATGCTAAAATAATTTCTTAATCAGAAATAAAAGTATTTAGTGTATGAAATAGTTTCAAATTTGTCTATCTTCTATACAAATGAATTAGTTTTGAGAAGATAAGAAACAACATTATACTAAGTTGATCTATAATTCAAATACATGTTGACTTGCTGCAACAGTGAGATTTATGTCAGAAAATGAATTGACCAATTACCGTAAAACGTGAATCTAGCATATTTCTAGTCTGTAGTTTTATATTTATTCATTTTCGATACTATGACCATATCGAATCAATGTCAAAAATGAATCACAGACTTACTGTCATCAATTTGATAATCTTCACGTTCTGCTACGAATATAGTCCACGGAATGTAGTCAAATTCAAATTGATTTCATCGTATTTGTAATATATCCGGGCAATTATTAGAATTGCTTGGATAATTAAACCTCATTGCTGTTCTAACCACATAGAAGCACCAGTTAACTCTCTATTTTCCATCAACTTCTTGTAAATATATAATAAACTTTCGGTATCATGCTAGAAATCTCATAAATCCAACTTGACGAATAATGACTAAACATCATCTAGTGCTTGTTTGAGTATTTCAAGCATTACTATTTCATTCTTTTGCTTTCTTCTTCTGGAGAGTTTTTAGAACTTTAAAAGAGCTAAAATAATGTTTAATGCGTGTTCACCAGCAAGATCCCATTTATTATCGATCAAAATAATATCGATTGAGGCAAATGATATAATCATATGACATAGTATATCTACAGATAATAGTAAAATTCAGGTAAGTAGAATATGTTGTTCAAAGAGTTTAGAGTATATCTTAGCTATTCATTGTATTGGTATCGAACGTTGGATAATCAGGAATAACAAAAATAAAAACGAGAATATTAAACGAAGATTTTATATGAACGATAGTTGTTGAATTAGGTATATAAACTTACCTATAAAGTCGACTTGTCAGGTTGTTCGAAGACAATGTTAAGTCTGCATCATAGATAATCAGATATTCATAAGAAATTTTGTCAATATTAAAAGATTTATTTTTGAGTATTTTATTGGCATTGAATGCCTCGTCTTAAATACTCGTTATAAATAAAATGTAACCGAGTTTATTCATTCATATTACATTTCAACATAAAATTAAAATAATCATTCTTGAACATTACAAGTGAAATCATTTCAAACGAATGAAAATTCATGATCTATATAGAATAATACATTCTTGTAACAAAACAACAAGACACTAATACTACGTAATTAAATAGTATTATTATGTTCTCGGAAACTATTTTGTGAAAAACTTTTTATAGGCTTAGAATTACGGAGACCAGAAATAATGCTGTGATTTCTCTTTGGTTTTTAACTCAATCACATCATGAGTAATCAAATAGTAGGAAAAAAACGAAAGAAAAGTACAACAGAGATTAAAGATTAATAGTTGCCGAAATAACCCCAACCGGCTGCATATTTATCAAATGGATTCAATGCGAAAACATATTGTTTTACAAGGTCAATTGTTATTATTTTACCTGTAAAATGTCATTTTTTGTATGCTTCATTGATACAGTTTTACATTCATTATCAAATAATCTATATACATATCTGTCAATTGGTAATTAAAGTGCCATTGAATCAGGTATCAAATATCCCACACGAATTAAAACTAAATTAAGGAACGTGATTGGTGTAAAATTGAAAAACAGGTTTAAATCATGTTTTTTTTAGATGATTTCATTGTGCTAAAGCATAAATTAAAATATGGTTCGATTAAATAATGAAATATATATACATGAATCATTGAATGAATAGGTAAATAAATATAATTAATAGTACTTCAAAGTATTAGTCATCATGAAATAGTATACTAGATTCTTAAAATTTTATACAGATTCTCAGTTTATTGAAGTATCTATGCGAAAATAGCAAAGTACTATCTGTCGTTGTTTTTAACAATGCTGATTTAAAATAGAAAAAACTGTTTTATTTCTAGAGAATGTTTGAAGTTTTATACACTAATAGATTGATGAGAAGATACTGCAAATACAACAAGAGAAAAATTCTTATCGGTTAAAAAATCAACCAAGCCGAATATCATAATGACAATGATATCATTACAGAGGGCATCAGTATTAGTATGCCATCATTATTGACACAAAACTCGACACTAATATATACTGAATTGAAATCTTCTACTTCTTTCATTTTACTATATGACCACAGAAAAAACTACTTAATCATTCATTAATAATACTAATAATAAAAGTTGCTTTTTAGTAAAAAAAAGCAAATTCTTGAACTTTTCTCAAAACTTACAAAAGAATTTCTACTCAATAAATAATATTATTTTACTCGTGGCAAATATTCTTGAGAAGAAAACAGAAAACTTCATCATCATCCAAGTACCACCAACTATGACTGGTTGTTACAATATGTTTTCCTAACCATTGAAGTATGCCCAACTGCTCAAAAATAGAGATGGAGCCACATTGACCGGTTTGCCGGTTAGCGGTAGACTTGAGACTCTATATCGACTGGTTTTATAGAATTTAGTTTATTGTTTTGTTAATTATAACTTATTTGATCTTGCCTATTGATTTTCATGATTTTGTCGATTTTTATACGTTTTCGTGCACTACCAAAAGTTTTCAGTGCCTCTGACTTCTTTTTTCATCTATGAATAACATCATATAAAACAACGGTGCGTTTCACACCGAAATATTAATTCTTCAAACGAATTCTTTTTCACTATATTTATTAATAGGCTCTCTATAACGAAAATACACAACAACTAATTTTTTCTTAAATGATAAATATTTTTTTAATATGAATTTTATATAATACTTTCACATATTTTCAGTAATTTATTCAACATGGCACATCTTATTTATATCTATAACATGAGTCTTATTTGTATCCAAAGTAAAAATAAAATTTCAAAAGCAAACAAGAGAAATGTCTTCTGTGATCCTTGAGATAAAGTTAGTTTTGCTTACAAATGGCTACTTCAAAAAATGAAACTTTTGAAGGACCGTTTCTTTTCCTAATTCGAGATATTTAAAACAACAACAGAACCAAAAACCAACTGACATTTTGATTGAGCAAATAAGATGTTAATATTACAGATTAGAGTACAGTTAATGATAGATAATAAAACTACTTAGACAATTAAATTATCAATTAGTATTATTGTTTAGTAGCATGTTCATATGCATTGATAGAGTTTTCCTAATAATAAATATCACAATGCTTACTTTTCAATTAGGTCAATTGATCTAAGTGTAATTTTTCTAACTGGATCAACAGAAAAACAGATTTCATTAAACTGTAATTATAATCTACAAAAAAATTTGTCGTAATCAATTACAGAAACTGTCACTCGTTGTTTTGGGAATGACCAATATATGGGTAAATGACATTCACAAAGTTTTCGCATTGAATTTGACAGCTCCAAGGAAATTCTTGAGATACGTATATAATAATTGTAGACATATTGAGTTCTACACTATTTGGTTTATTTAATTTGATTGTTTGAAATAAGTAAGGTTTACAAAAAAATATCGTGTCTTATCTTATATTTACGAGATCAGATGAAATCAGCAAGATACATATAATTCCCACTAGGCGATGAAGCTACATAAATATGAGATATATTCGGGAAGATTGATATTTACATTCATAAGGTATTTTAAAGGATATTAGTTACCCAGTCAGACAAGCATTGAAAAAAAACCGCGTTTTTACGCGTAAAAATCCCACATTTTCGAGGCGTTAAAAAACGTTTATTTTTTGAAAAAGAATCATTTTCACGATGTTGCTATTAACCTCTTGGATACTGCTGTCTTCAATTGAAGACAAGCAGAACGAAAGAATTTTTTTTTTCGTTCTGTCGTATTGATAAACAGCTGTGAAACGAAATGTTCATTAATGTGCCTGTATCAGTCCACATTTCATATACAATAAAATATAAATGTATACAGCTGATTTACGATAATAGGACGCAAGAGAGAGTGATTTTTTGATTTTTCTATAAGATCGTAAAGAACGCAAGAATTGTCCGGATCCAGGAGGTTAACAAGGTTGCTTTATTTTTCGAGCAGAAGTTACATTTCATGAAACGTTAAAATGCACGCTTTTTACCCGTAAAAACACCGTTTTTTCAACGCTTGTCTCGCTGGGTAGTATATAAACATAAAATTTCTACTAAGTACATATTTTCTTTCGACATCGATTCTACGGTAAGTGAACGTTGTCTAGAGTTGAGGAACTAATATGTAAATTTTTCTTACAAATTAATGTTTACCCATGTCATAAAAATCGTGTCACTTCTGGCGATTGATTGCCTTTTGAATAAAAAAAAGCGACAATTAATAACGATTAATAGGTAATATTCGAACATACTCCAACAGTAAGTATTATTATATACAAATAAATATGTTTTTTCTTCTATTTAGATCATCTGATCATCTCAGTGAGCAGTAAGTATTATTTTATTAAAAAAGTTTTTTTTTTGTACTATTTACGATGGATGCGGAGAAAGAAATCGTCCTTATCATCATTCACAAGAAACATGTCTAAGTACGGTAGTAAACGACAGTGGTATACATGCCGAGACGTTATCATAGTTGTAGATCGAAATACTACAACCAGACCAGATTATCAAAAATCTTGTAGGACAGTCCATAAACAGCAATACGATAAAAAACATGAAATATGGAGCGTGAGTGTAGATGTTTCTATGCATATGACCGTCGGTGTCCCTATAGATTTGGGTATAAATATTCGTGTCGTTCTTCAGTTTATCTATTGAACCAATTACATTCATAATGAAACACCAAAGCCAATACTCATATCTATCCAGGATGACAACAACACCTATATGCACATGCATACCAACAGCGACATGAGTACCTAAACTCCACATATGCACCACATCGATATTCGCAGCACATCCTGAGGATTTACCCTACTTTGGTCGAAAGGTAAAAATGTCGAAAGGTAAAAATGTCGAAAATAAAAATATCGAAAACAACAATTATAGAAATGCCTAAAGGTACAAATACTGAAAATGATAGTGTATGAGAGGAGAAGTTCCTTCACCCTCACCCGCACTCTTACATTCACATCTTGATGCCTTATTTTCGTTTTCGACATTTTTATTTTCGGCATTTTTATCTTTCGACATTTTTACCTTTCGACCAAAGTAGGATTCACCATCCTGAGATCTAAGTTCACATCAACACTCACACTCAAACCAATCAAGACGCAAACGCTTGCCCATGAGCGCCACAGAATCACAATCACACCCTCATTGACAGATCTACCATCCTGAAAAAAATTAATTAGACGAAGACTAAAAATGGAATATATCTGATTAACAAAAACTGCAACCTCCAAAAATTAAACATTTCATTGACTGAGTTGCCAGCATAAAAGAACCTCATTTGAAATAGCTATTCAAAATCCTTACAAATATATGTTTCCACATGACTTTATACGTGTAAGCACACATAAAAGCAAGCAAATTCGTTTTATTTCATATGATCTTCACTTCAGTTCAGAAAATAATTCATGTAAGAAGCAACACTTATCACTGAAATAGTACACAACGTACTTTTTAAAACTACTCTCTTCGTTTTTTTGAACAAAACATGTGCTGGCATCGCACTTTTTCTATTTCTTTGACGCAGTTAATTGAAATAAAATACTACAAAAGAATATTATTTCTTTAATATTGCGCAACTTGGGAAAAAACCAACATCTACTTTGTTCCGTTGCGTCTTTGTATAAAAGGAAAAAGAAAAAACTGTTTTTTTCTTTCATTTACTCGAACACTCCTAAAAAACAATGACACACTGGACATTCTTCAAATCAAGTGAAAAACTATGCAAAACGGGAACAAATGAATGTCGTCCGGCCTACAGTGGTCAACCAGGCGAAACCGATCAAACTAAGAAAAACAAAGGTCCTATACCAGATGGGGATTATACTCTTGGAGAACCGAAGGGCAAGAAAAAATTTCCTTTGATACCAGATACATCGAATAATATGTACGATCGTGATGCCTTTCAAATTCATGGAGACAATGGAAGAGGTGATAAATCGGCTAGTAAAGGATGTATCGTCACGAATAAAAGAGAAGATTTGAAAAAGAATGATCGGCTTCACGTCACAAGCAGTGAAAGCAAAGAAGGCACATGTATACTCAGTTGACTTATTTTATTTTACTTTTTTTGTTCTTCAATAAACTTTCTCTGCGTTAACGTTTCTATATGTTGTATTCGCCTCAAAGATTAAAACACATAAGAAAATCTCCATTGGAATTCAATTCGATTTGACTCAGTCGTTCACAAAAAATCGATATGTTTATTTCCGCGTACTGCCTCATACGTCTTGAGGTTATGTGTCGATCAAAACATCTGTACGAAAGTTCAGTACGAAGCACGACTTATTAAATATTCGTATTTATAACAGTTCATTAGCAACAACCTCATGATAAGTGAAATAACTTATATTCGCATGATTGATACTTGACCGGTACTGATTTAGTCTACGAAAACTGTCCGAAGGCAAAATAGTTGAAAAAATTATAACAAAATGCTTAAAAAAATTCTCCAGCGGTAGTTTTATTCATCAAAAATTGATGTTACTAAAAAAAGAAAACTATTCAGCAAATAAATATGTATTTATCTACGATACAAGTATGAGATAAGACAATATTGATATAGAGAGAAAGAAAAATTGCAAAGCTGCACCATATTTTGAAATTATGGTGATGCAACAACTAAATTGAGAGTATACTATTCTTTTCATTTTAATGAAATATAAAAATGAGCGACATCTGCGCTTTTAAAATCCGTTTTGTATTAACTTTTATCCAAAAGAAAAGCTCGATTATTTATAATAGACAGTTAGAGCTCTTGAGACAAACAAACAACTTTTATTTTATTAAAAATTTGTATTGCATGATCACTATAGATGACAAACAATCCAATCAGAATATTCACAAATTTTGTGTTTTCTTTTTTTTTTTTCATTTCTCTTCAATCTTCAAGTACGACCTGATAGTTTTCTAATGACAATTCACGGTTTATTGTTGGAATATTTGTCTGCGTACAATAACCATGATATTAATAAAATAGTTAGTTTTCTTCATCCTGATTGTCGTGTCATATTTAATGATCAATTAGCAATACAAGGTGCTGCAGCAATGCGACCTACTTATGAAAAAGATTTTTTAAATCCTCAAGCAAGTGCAACTCTTTTAGAGTATCATGAAGATACTAACAATAAAGATCGTATCCGTGTTTTATTAAAAACACAGGATAATCGACTTATTGATGTAACATATATATTCGAAATGAAAAAAGATGATGACAAACTGAACAATGAAAAAATGATTGAACATATTATTCATTCAGTTAAACTTCAACAAGACTCACAATCATGAGATCAACAATAAATGAATATTTTATTATGAAATAAATGCTAAAGACTTATAGTTTTTTGACTTTGACATAATAAAAAAAATATACATATAAAATAATTAATTATTCGTTAAATCTGTTCTGAGTAGGATGAATAGAATCAATCAATTGTGTCACAACTCATAACATAATGAAAAATGAAAAGTAATTCTAAATAAAAGCACATTCTTGTATTATTAACATACAATACGAAAGACGTACTTGTTAGTACAACATAAACAGACTAACGTGGTGAAAAAAATATTGACACTTCTAGTGAAAATATAGATTTTAAAATAAATATGAAAATTTATATCTATGAAAAATCAACGAAAGGATTTACTTATTGATTTGGACGTTGTCCATGAAAGAAGAAATGTGTTAATCGATAATTATAATTCATTGTTTCAAATTATAATAATATCTGTCAATACTGAGAAAAGAAACTATTGAGATATTTAATAAATAAGATTTAAACAAAAAACAAAGTTAGTAATAATAGCATGGTAAAAATAAAGAAAATGATTTGATTTGTTCGATGTTTCGATAATAATCAAAAATCAGATAGAGAAAAATATGATTATTTTATCAAAAAAGATAAATAACATAATGCCCTTTTTTTCAATAATGTACAATAAGTAATCAACATATATCAATCAATCATACATCACAATAACGAACATTTTCAAAACAATCTTTAAAAGAAAATCGAATAAGAACATGTACTCTAAATATCGAGTATTTTTTAACAGTTGAATAACCTCACTTTATTCAAATATCAAATTTAGAATCAACTAACTAATATTCGATACTTTAATAATCATCGTTTTTTTTTTTATTGTTATCATATGAATTCAATATGAATCAAGTTATTGATAAAAGAAATTCCCCAATTTTAGAAAAAGTCTAATTGTAGTTTATTATCTACTACCTACAATTCAACTTTTTATTCAAATTTTAGAATAACTTGCATAAAATCTTCATAATTGATCATTTTATAAACAAGCTGTTAGAACAATTCCTGCTGAATTAAATTGTGAATCATCATGCAGTTGCTGTAGTTAATCACAAGAAGAACGCTTTATTCTATCTATTTTAGGACACATTTCTTCACCATCGTTTTACTTTATCGTCGAGAGTTGCAATAAGGAAATAGTTCATATATTATAATGAGATTTCATTCATATAAATAGTCTTTGATCATATATCAATAACATCTGCAATGACTCATTCCTAAGATGTCTGTCACGTTTGTGATATAGAAGTGCAAATTTCTACCCTTATACTTAAAAACTTCTTTTAAATCGTGTTTCAGAATAATATGAAAAGCTATTTCCTAACTGTTTTCTATATCATCGTCATGGTCGCTTATTTTGACGATAAAGTTGATAATGTACACACCAAAAGTTATGTTTTTAACTAATTTCATTTTACATATTTTCTTTTTCGTTCTACAATTATCAATCTTCTCAATAACTGTTGACTATCTAGTTAAAATCAGTCCTGATGTGATGATCTGTTAGATAACTACTGGTTGCAGATGAATGATATATCATCTATATAAAAGATAGAATTTTATAGAACTGTAACATAGAAAATAAATTGCCTTACAATCTTATCGAACAACGTTAACTAATTGTAACTGAACAAAAACTATAATTTCAATTTATTCTATAGTTCTGTTAAAGTCTGTTCTTTTGAGTATTACTTATGATAATTGGATCTTAAAAGTCTTAGTTGAATTTTTTTATTTAAATGTTTGTTTGTTTTTTGCTGAAAAAAATCCAAAAGACAAGAGAAAAAAGCTTTTTTTACAAATTTTAAAAGAAGAAAAAGCTACAAAAAGAAAAAAGATGAAATAATTTATGGCTAATCAATGATTTCCTCTTCAATTTGAGACTGATCTTGAGAATTATCCATTGGAGATTCGTCCAAATTTTCTTGTGATGAATCTTGTTGTTTTTTTGTTCCTTCAATTGTTTCTTTAATTAATTCTCGAATACGTGATTGACGTTTTTGTGTATAATCACTTAATGCTCGATTTTGTTTTCCCGGTTCTTTCCTTTTTAACCATTTATCAATTGCCTTAATTAAAAAAAAGAAAAATTTAATTTCCTTTTTTTGAGAAAATAAAAATAAAATAAAATCTAACTTGTTTAATATCTTGTTTAAGTTTATCAGCTAAAGTAATAAATTCATCAGGTTTAATTCTTCGATCAATATTTTTTTGTAAAGCTTCAGCAAAATAATTTCTTATCTGTTCTAAATTATGATGTTCAGAATTTTGATTAACAAATTCATTTTTTAAATGATATAATTTTGTTTGAAAAAAAGCAAGTTGATGTTCATTAGTTCGTAATTCACATTTTATTTCTTTATGAAAATAACTAAATTCACGTGAACAAGTTAAACGAGATAATCTTTGTAAGTCAGTTGTTTGTAATGTACGAGCAGAACCTATTGGACTTTTAATCGATGGTGAAGATGTTGTTCGATTTACCGAAGGTGAAGATATAATGCGATTTACTGAAGGTGAATTTGTTGTTCTAACTTGTTCTTTTTCATTATTTGATGATGTTTCAACCATAGATTTTACCTTCTTTGGTTCACGAATTTTGACGAGAGTTGCAGGTTTAGGACGAGCAGGTATAACACGAGGTTTAACCTTATTGATGGTGGGAGTTGGAGGTGGTGCTGGAGGTTCTAAACCTAGAATTTAAATTATTTTTCTTTTAGATAAATTCATTTAAATAAACAAATGAAAATAGATACGTTTTTTAATTTCTCGTGTTTCACATTTAGTAACACGTCGAACAGTACGTTCTTTTCGTGTTAAAAATCGAACGCCAAATTTTGGTGGTGCTGGTGTCATTCTAAATATATTAAAAATATAGATTTCGTTTTTAAATGATTTCTTCTTTTGTTTTTTTTTGTTTTTTTTTCTTTGAATACCTTATTCAAAAAGTTTTGATCGGACAAAACAGAAGGAAATGTATTAGTTTCTATGTTGCCCTTTACTCGTCTTACCAATGAATAAATGCTGATAGAAACAAATTCACGATGGACAAAGAAAAGAAAAAGAAAGGATGTCGATTTTTTTTTCTTTCACTCTTCAAACAACGGACAACTGACCGAGGTCAACGATAGTAGAATATTTTTTTTTTCTTTCTTTCTCTTAAATATGTGTGAGTGACCCGTTCAGTATCACGTAGACAGAATAAGAAAGAAAAGAAAACGGTCACTGGTTTGCTAGAAAAGAAAACAAAAAGAGGCACAACTAATAAGATTGCAGCGTTTGGTCACTACGTTCTATTTCTAACAAATAAGTCAAACATCTATGCCTTTTTCCTTTCGAACACTTCAAGTAAAATAAAAACAATGTAATGATTACATTGACCATTATTATATATGTTAAATAAGATATATTTCAAATGAGTTTCTACAATCCTTAGTTATTTTAAAGGAATACTTTTCATTTGAAGATTTTTATACAAGATGAACCATAAATGATATCACTTTAAAAAAATAGAAATATCTTCTCTTCAGAGATAGGATTGATTCGTGCTTTTTTTCGAAACTGAACGGACGTGAGCTTAAAAATTCACAAATCATACTGACGTAGTTTTAAAAAATGTTCTAATTGGATCGGTTTCATCTCTAATTCGCTTCGATTCATTCAAATAGGTTCAATTTTTTTCTATTAGTGATAGAAGTTTATTTAAAGAGTTTTTTTCATACAAATAATATAAGTAAATATCATTATTAAGTACTATTGCTGACTTTACTAAAGATATTTGACTTGTTGACAAGTCAGAAAAATACTTCGATGTTCAATGATCCAAGATCATAAAAATAAGAAATCAAATTTTTTTAATGACATAAAGAAAATTTTCTGGATCAGTTAGTTTAAACGTTGATATTTATGTTCAATAAACTAGTAGAACTCACAAGTGATGCCTTCTCAAAACTAGATCAGTAAATGATTTGCAAAATTCAGTATTCCATGCTTAAAAACTCAAAATATTGCAACTCATTGACTTTTAAATTAATTGATCCTTAAAATTGACCCTATATCATTGAAAAAAATTTGATTTCTTGTTTTTATCCCCTTAGATGACACAATTGAAGATAATCTTGAATTGTTACATATATATATATTTTTGTAAGTAAACAACAAATCAAATTTCTTTCGTGAACGTAAGAAATAATCCTCTCATAGTAGTATTTGTTTAAATTATATGTATGAAAAAAGAAAGGTTTGAATGAATTGAAGGGAAGATATTTAATTTTTTTTGTCGTTGTATTATTTATGGTCTATCTTGTATATACTTGTTGAATATCAATATTTTTAGTTGGATTATTTTTGTATGGTTTCTCATTTACTTTTCAGTTGAAGGTATATCGGATTGTTTTGAGAATATCTTCATTTGAAATTGTATATTGATTGTACCTGTAGTGTGTTGATGATTATACTTGAATATATTATGAGGTTATGATTCTGGAACAATTGATAGTTTTGTATTACTATTAAATGCTGTGATCATAATAGAACTAATGCGTTATATTTTCTTGGTTTTTCTATTTGTCTTTATATTCTTTTCCATATGACTAATATTAACATCAAAGTTGAATAGAGATGAATAGAAAAATAAATATGCCGAGACCGATAGGAGTTAGTGATCGATGGTATTCAGTAATTGACAGAGACTAAATTTTGACGTCTTTTCACATGATAATGCCTATGATAAAATGATTTATAAATAAAAGTCATATACATTAAACATTGGGACAAGCAATGAACTAATGTGAATACATAAAAATCAAAAGTTCATTGAAACGATAGACGATTATCATGATTTTTTTCAATATTTTACGTGAAGGATTTCTTTTTGTATAATTTTATCGTATGAAAAAAGTCTGAATTTTCGTTTCTCAATTGTTGGAAAGTATAATTTACCAGCTGTTATCATTATCAAAATATTCATTTATTATTCATTGTTATATAACCCTTTACTTTCAATGGCAGTTTCAGAGGAGCCATTGATAAAATAGCACATACAAAGTATTGGTTTCATTCGTATGCTAATGATATGGAACGATCAGACACATTACACTTAACGCGAATTCGTTTGATCAGCTTAGTGAACATTAGAAATAAGAAGAAAGTAGAACGAATTGAAAATTCATATTTCAATCTCCTACAACGATAGCTTCGAATAATGGAATATGCACTTTCAACCCTATTTTCTTTAAAAATATACCTGTAGTCATTACATAATAATATAAACAAGAGAGACATCTTATCGACGATAAATGCTTTTGTTTGACTTCTAAAATGATAAAGTTTTAAAAAAGAATAGATATGATAAATATCTTTCTTCGTTTTACATGCCGAGGTTTAGTTTAGGATTTATTCAATGTTTTAACATGTATTATCTGTCAAACTATGGCGAAACTTATGAAAAACATTTGATTGACTAGTAAACATTTTTGTCGATATGCATATATATATATATATGTGTCCCATAAAATATCTTCGAAGTGTATTTTGTCGAAACTTATCGATTTAGAAGTCATACTTTCTAAAGACAGAACAATGAAACAAAATAAGACTTTTTTACCAACCATAATTCATAAAATTCACTATAATAACAGAGTTAGTTGTAGATTATGTATGGTTCGATTGTTTTCAATGATGTTTCTGGAAATATCCACACTAGTGGACATTCGAGGAGTAGTAAAGGAGAAATTGTGGCGTTGCTGTGAGAACTTATGGATTGAAAATATTGATAATTATTTGACAATTAAATTTTATCGAATTTTTATAGATTATAAACTTTTATGTACATGAAAATTTCAATGCAAATAAGTATTTCATATGACATTAAGTTTGTTTTCTTTAAAGACAATCATATCTCTTATTCGATTTTTCTTTTTTAAAATTCTTAATTTAACTTAAAAGATTCGATATAATAAGAATACATGTCAATATGAAGAATTTTTACAAATAATTCATCTATTGATTTATATCAAACGAGATGTTTTTTTTCCTTTCGTATTATTTATTAAATTACCATTTTTTCTTTAGTTATTTTTGTTTTTACAAAAATTGTTTTTTTTCGTTTTGTAGAAAAAAAAATCTTTCTTAATTCTAATAAAATCTTGTTTACTTCTCATTGTATGTCTTTGAATTTTCTCATAAAATATTTGCTTAAATATCTTTTTGTATGTGTATTGTACATAATTTAGAAAAGAAGAAACAAATATGAATATATTCATTATTTGAAGAATGAATTTATGAAAAAGAAATAATAAAATGAGGTCATTGAAAACTAATATAATTAATTACACAAACAGTTCGACGTTTTGACCACTGTTGTTGGTAAATAATATTGTAAATTGTTATTTTTAGATTGAATAATATAATGCATAGCAAAAAGATCATTTTGAATCCAAGAAAATTTATTAAGTGCAAGTATAATTAATTTTTTCCTTGTATTATCAATTTGATCATTTGTTAAAACAGTATCAAGAAGAATATTTTCCATATAAGCAAGAAAAGCACTAATATGAATATAATTAACATCAATTGATTCTGAACCTGCCATATTAGTATGCATTTTACCAACATAAGAAAGATATTCAAGAAATGCATCATTCCAAACTCGTTGTCGAAAAATTCGTTTTAAATATTTGATAAGAGTACTTCGACGAAAAGCCATTTGTTCAGATTGGAATGTAAGTTCAGTCTCGTTTATAGGTAAAGTACCTGTATAACTAAAATGACGTATGAGAAAATATTTTTTTGTTATATCAAATTCGAGTAATTTTTGAAAAAGAGTATCAACCACAGTTGGAATAAATGGAAGTGCAATTTGACCAAAATAATTAAGCATTTCAATATCATCATTTGTAAAGTTGAGAAATTTTGATAAATATTCAAAACGATATCGAAGATTATTATTGATCGAAGTGCTGTCAATATGTTCAGCCATAATAATGGAACAAAGTTTTTCTTTTGAAGTTTGAATGAAGAATTCTATCAAAGCTGTTTTGAAATAATTAGGTAAATATAATATAGAATTTCTTTCATAGAAAAAATAAAAACGTCATAAGAAAGTATATATTTCTTTGAATTGATCATTTATAATTATGACATTATTGTTTTTACAACTTTTAATGTTACATTTAATAAAGGTTTAATTCAAGGAATATTTTTTTCAAATGTCTTTAATTGTCAGTTCCTAATAGTAAATGTCCTGAAACACTCTTTCTACAAAAAAAAATTCATTTCTTAGTTCTAGTTTGTTATTCTTTTTTTTGACAAGCTAGATGACATGACCTTGACGAGGCGGCTCACAAAAAACAAATCAATGAATATGATAATGATAAAGAGAAATTTCTGATTTGTTTCACTTAAAATATTGTATACCATTGATTATAATCATATACATTTGATACTTCTGCAAAAATATCACAACAACTAATGGGTCATTCTGTATAAAGATGCCTAGATACGTCATTTTATGATTCATGGATTTTCATTTCTTTGTAAAAATAAGTCAATTATACGAGCTATATTCAATCAGTAGAAATTTAAATTCTCTTTATATTACCAAAGTGTAGTAGTGTTAATCTTGAAAGTAATTGAATTCAACTTTCAAGTTTGTCGCTACTGAGCTATTTTGATGATTCTGTGCAATATTAAAATCAAAACACAAATATCTACTTATTATATTTCAGAGTAGAGATAAATGAAACGCACCATATTGAGTTATTTTTTTTAGTTTTCTACTTATTTTCATGTGACACAGATGTAATAGAAAATATATAAAGAATCGCACTAACATGACCTTCGAGGTTGGCAAAAAGAAATATACGAATAAAATAAATTTAACTTTGAGAAAAAATGAATCATTCTCTTTGACATGTATCAGGAGGACATCAAAGTATCATCTTCTATATCAGTTATACCAAATTTCACTTTTTTTTTTGTTCTTGTTTATGATTATTTATTTACATGATTAATCATATTTCCTTATTAAATCAAAAATAAAATAAAATAAAATAAAATTGAAATTCTATTCATGTATTGAAAATCTATTTTTGAAGTACAAACTGATCAATAAGTGTATCATTATCATTATGATAATATGTAAAATTTAAATATGTACGATTGGCCCATAATTGACTATATCCATATTGTTGATCATGATAGATACTCCATTCTGCACCTGAATATTCACCAGAATCTATATCTTGTCCAGCCATACCAATTAAGACATGTGTTATACCATCTGATACACATTGTTGTTTATACATTGGACATGTTCGTTCATATGAATGTTTATGTGCAAATAGATTAATATCAACATGATATTGATAGAATAATGGTTCCAAATAAAATTGTAACATTATTTTAATAAAATCATATGGTTCATCTGTTTCTGATGCATACATTGGTCGATGTGAACCAACAATAATCCATGGAGTATGTGAACGATTTACTGAACGAAGATCTTGTTCAATCCATGTATATTGTTGTGATGTATGACGAAAATCGTGTTCTGTTGAATAATAAATAATATGAATTGGACCAACATCAAAACTATACCAAAATAGACTATTGCCATTTGATGGAGAATGAAAACGACGAACCATTGGAACAGCACATTCACCACCCGAATCATAACCATAATTACCCCTAAAATTAATAAAAATATTCAAATTCATTTTTTAACCATTAATTATTCACAAAATATGAACTAAAACATTAAAGCTTTATTAATATTTTTATATTCAATAAAATTTTTATAGCTAAATATTGTTATCGAGATAAAATACTATACCATTTAGGTCGAAATCCTCCAGGACCTGGTGCACCACTTGGATCTTTATCTCCACCCATTACATGATCATATTCATGATTACCAATTCCTACCATATAAGGTATACGAGCTGCTATTGGTTGAATTTGCGTCATAAATGCATCCCATAGAGCACCAACACCTCGAGCGTAACTAATATCACCTATATGTAATAAACATGTAAAATTTGTTGATATTACTCGTTCTATGACTCGATCAATAGTTGATTTTGCACCTGGTTCAACTGGTGATAAACCTAAATCACCATATGCAATCATATTTACAGCTTCATTTTTATCTGCTGGACGATTTATAAAAGAATAAATAGATGACCATCCATGTTCATTTGTTCCAACACGATAAAAATATGTTGTTGATGAACGAAGATCTTCTAATAAAATAGTATGCATATATCCAGGATCAATAAATGCTTGTGGACCCCATTTATTAGCTTTTCCTTCACACATATCTGATGCTGTATATGTTATTGTTGTTCCATTTTGATTAAAATTTAGAGATGATGGACTTAATCCATATTGACATTGAGGAATATATTCTGATGAATTAGTTAAATATGAAACAAACATTTGATCAATTCTATCACCATAAGCTAAATGAATTTGTGTTGGTTCATTATAATTAAGTGGTTGAATAACAGGAGATTTAGCAATAAAAGAATAATTGCCTGAACAACTATGATCACGTGAATAATAACGAAATTCTAATGGACGACGAAGATTAGTCATTTGCCATGACATACTACCTTGCTTATTTTTAACAAATTCATAATCGAAATAATCACAAGCTAAAGTAAAATGTACAATTTATATTCATTTTTTATATATGATTAAAACAAAATAAGTAACATATTTACCGGTAGCAAGAGAAATTTCAATATAATAAATACCAATAAAATCATCTTTACATGATGCTGATATTGGTGTCCATGTCACTTGAATTTGTTCACTGCTCATATAAACTGTTTTAGATACTTGTAGATCTTGTACAACTTTACTTCGTCGATGAAAAATTGAAGAAGAAATACCTGCTCCTCTATTACAAGCATATGGACTTGGTTCATTGTGAAATTCATGACGTTTTCCAAACGGCCCATTAGCATTCAAATGCTTTTCGGCCTGGACAAAAACAATAAAAGACGATATAAAAATAGAAAAACATGCCACTCGATAAAGAAGTATGTTATTACAAGCTGCGACCATCACACTTCTCATATCACATGCTATTTTAATATGAAAGACAATCGGATGATATACATTTTTATATAACACTCAAGCAAACAAATGAATAAAATTGTGCCATTGGTAAATAAACTGATGCAATAGGACGTCTGATTACAACCTCTGTTGTTTTAGAACAATGATGATCAGTAGATGTAGTCCCTAGTCATAGGTGTTAAAATGAAAATGATTGCATGTATCAATGCCATTTTAATTGCATGTCGCATTTCTACATAGGAGATATACTTTTAAAATTAGCAATTTCTTTTAATAATTTGTTTATGTTCAAAATCAATAATAAAAGAGATTCCAACCTTAAATGAAAATTTTGTTCACCATCGTATTTACATAAAATGTATATAAAAAAAAATGTTCCAATGGCATTTAAAATGTTTGTCATAATTTTTGAGAATTTGAAGTAGACTATGTAGTTATCGAAACAGTTTCAACTGCTAGTATAATTGGAGTTGCACAAACTAGTCCACTGAAATTACTATCATACATATATGCTCTAAGACTAAATTGTTCACTGCACTTTTCCTCGTGTTACTGATAGATATTTACCATGTACACTACAATAATGAAAAGCAATAAGTTTTATTATCTTGAACGAAGAATCCATGAGATTAGGTTGCCATTAATTTCATCCTCATCAATAGAAGATTACATTTAAATACTGATAAAACCTGGAACTTAGAAAGAATTGAAGCAAAAAAAAAGCAATAAATACTTTTTTAAGCCTATTTTCAGTATTTTAGACTACTTTTTCGTTGGGCTTTTACTGGTAAAGAGCAAAAAAATTTCCTAACAATGAAGACGCCTGTCGCTTGATTTTTTTCTCAATTCGTAACGAAATTTCATCGCAAAAGTGTAGATAACCATGAGCAATCAAACAATCCATCATAATTTATTGTTCTTTCGTTACATGCTTCATTATAATTATCATGTATAATTGAGATTGAAACCAATAAACTAATATTGTGGAGATTTAGCTTTTTACTAAATATATCACTTTACCACATAAAATGTAGGAAATAACAGTCTTTTTCTTTTGCTTTTATTAATGAAACAAATAAAAATATTTACACACTACTTTCTTATTTCTTACGCTTATCGCAGTACTTTTATATCAACTCCAGTGAAGATAAAGTTAACCTTTTTTATTCTTTTGTAAAGCTGAATCGCCATTAAAACAGAATAGCTTAGAGAAAGCTTTTTTTGTGGTGTTCAAGCATTCAAAACTCAATTAAATTCTTATCCACTGTAACAAATATGAGTATACTCATGTGCATTCGACAAAAATGAACTATTAAAATGTATTGAAAAACTGATTCCAAATTATGCGGATTGGATAGGAGCATCGAAATGAAGTACATTCAATACCTGCTCAAAGTCAATGGACATTGAACTATGTTCGAAGTTTTATCTTGAATTCAATATAAGTTTTTTTTAAAGATCTAAGATGTTGTTCATCCGAACGAATCATTATTATATTGTTGTTGCTAGCCCATATAATTCTTATTTTCCAAGTGCTATAAACCTGTTTTATTATTGTCTGCTACATTTCATTGTCAACCGTTTCCAAATGATGTAAGTGTACATCAAGCTGGATCGTAACTAATTTAACCATTTCTTTTTCCTGTCAAAATAAATTTTATTTTATAGAAACTATCGATCTACTACGTATATATGTTAATAAAATGGGTCAAACCAAGGATGTCAACAAGCATTACGGATTTATATCCATAGACAATAAATACTAAAAGTCTGCACAATGACTATGTTTATATATCTGAAAAAATAAAAAGGAAGTACTGAATAAGTTGTTTCATCTTTGAATGAACTTATGGTAGAAACAATTTAAAACAAAATGCTGTCCATGATACAATCATATTCTATTATATTTATGTTCCTAAAATGTTACAGTTTTATTTCATGTTGTGTAACCGTTAAATTTTTCTAAAAGCAAAAAAAATTAAAAAAATTTAGGAATGAATTAGCATATGCTGACTCATCATATATGTCAAGATTGAAACTTGAATTTCAGTATTCAAATATTCAATTATTGAATATTTGAAGGCAGGCAACTCCCTTAAGAAAGGATGGAATCAACGCCCTTTGAAGAACTGAAGGTGAACCCTTGCAGAGGAGATTGAAGGGAAAATCCAGTGCCTACGTAACCAATCTTTTTATATCGGCGTGGAGACGTATAGCGCCTTCGAACAGCTGCAATTATTCATTCTCATTTCTGTTTACATCGTGAAGTGTATCATTAATAGATTCTATATAATCACTTGAATAACTAAATTTAAGCTTCAAGATTGATACTACTGTTGGATTTGAACATTAATGATTTCGATGTCAAATAATATTAGTTTGCTGAATTTTCAACCCAATTTCGTGAAGTAAAGAAAAACAAACGTGTAGAGATAGAAAGTAATTTTTCGCAGCATAGGTAGTTTTTCAATTAGAGAAAGAAAGTGAACTTTGCTGTGGGCTATTTGCTCTAGAGAATAAATGTAAACCAATGCCTTTTGGTACGCTGATAATTGATGGTGATGCAAGTATAGCGTAGTATGTTCATCGGTAAATAACTCTCACAGCACGTAACACAATCAGTTGGAGAACTATGTACTTAGGTCAAAATGAATAGGTGCAAATCATCAGTTTACATTGTTCATAGTAGAGAGACTACGATACACTTTTGGTTCCAGTGTTTGACCGTCGCGGGTGACAGGAGAGTGTGGATCGGTCGAATTTAGAAAGAATAGACTCGGTAGTGATGAATTGAGTACAGTCACATTAAATGCGAGGAGTGAACGAAGTGCAGACTCTACCTATGCGAAACGCAATATATTCTGGATACATTTTAATGTTGAATTTCGAATCGCTTCGACCAAATAACATCCAACGTAGACAGCAAAGATGATCATCGATATGTTTTCATTTTTCTCTTGGAATGTTGAAGGTGTCAGACAAGAGAATGTAAGAGAGCGATCCCAGCTTCCATTATCCTACTTTTCAAAGAGCAATTATACTACCAAATAAGGCGAAGCACTAGACATCAACTGCATTCTAGGGTTGATAAATAAATCGGACATCAGTAAGATTGGATCATCTCTCTGATAACATTGAATGCCTGAGTGAACGCTTCAAGTGAGCTTGCTACATACCCACTGATAACTGATTGAGTTCGTCGAGTGAAATATCTTGGTATAGGACTGTGACCAAAACGAAAAGAGTTGAATTGAAGGTGAATAGCTAATTTTCGAGACTGGTTTTGGCTAAAGAACAAAATGCCGCGATTACTTGAAACAAGTAACGTGTCGGTCATCGGGCCTCGCTTGAATCAGTCCTGAAAGCAGAGAATACAGACAATAAAATAGTACTCTCAAAAACAAAATTGTGCCCTAGATCGGGTGATATTTTTTGGATTCTTGTTATCGTAGTCGACTACTCTAGGAAAAGATGAAACATTTCCACCGAAACTACATGTAAAAACGTGTTTCATTTGAAAGTACCAAAGCAACTCCTCGTCGGTCATCGGCACCCCTTTGGGGCGCCACTCCCGACTCGTCGCTCTTATTTCGTCCCTGTGTGTATCTATGGATGATATCTTATAGCGAACTACTAAGGTCTTCGTTTCATGTTTTGAGAACAAGGCAATCTAAAAGTTTGAAACCATTTTTCGATTTTCTTTAGGAACTAGTCTAGAACAATATAGACGCTTATAAAAAAAGCAATCGGTACAAACTAGAATACACCTGTTCCAGTTCTTGACTTAAAATTATTCGAGAGTGACACTAAAAATGAGATTGATATTGGTCACAATGAGTCTGAATAAAGTTTCGAGATAAATACATTAAAGGTTAATTATAACGGGAGGTTCAAATCAAAAACTATATCGCACAAAACGTGGCCAACAGCTATCAATAAAATGCAGTTTAGAGCCGAGACTCATTTGCCAACGTTTCGATCACTAGCGACTTCCCATCATTTCCCAACATACTACATTTTTGAGGAGCTCAAAAATACTATGTTCATTGTCGCTACTCGAATGCCTGGTCATACTATGAGGCTACTGGGGAAGTGAACATCTGAGTCACTTGAATTTCTGCAACTTTATTTCAAAATAAAGCTGCAATGACAATTCCGACTCATACAACGTTTCCTATTCCTCTTTTCGGTCGGAAGTGTTTATTAGTTCCTGATTTACTGAACAAACACACGAATGCTACCAATTCTATGCATTTCTTTTGAATATTCTCGATGAGACAATGAAATGCTGCGTGGATCTTTCTACATAAACGTCTCTCACCCGGCAGCAATGAAAGCAGCTGCTCATCAGTCGTCGGCGCCCCTTTGGGGTGCCACTTCCGACTCGTCGCTTCTGTGTACCCTTTCCCCAGTGTTTTGTAAAGCACTCACACTAAGCACTTTATGAACTTCCTTGTGTCGAATTCTGGGTAAGAAATAGTATTTGGACTTTAAACACAATGTGTCTGCTTCCTTTTTAAAATCTATCTGCAGAGATAGTAATCTTCGATATCAAAAAAGTTGTTACGCTGATTTTTCATCTTCGACCACCTGTGATCAAGTCACATTCTACAAAATATAGATTTTTATGATTTAACAGCTGTCACAATGCCCTGTTTCCGCAACCAATCAGTTTCCATCTCGAGCGTGTATTGCTTTCTGAATAATTGGATAGGCAAATAAACATACAACCAATTTAATGCAAATGACTCTGTCTTAAGCCCCCCTCCTCTCAAAAAAGTCAATTTTTCGAAAAAAACTGGATTTTGACATTTATATATATTCTGATAGCCCTCGCAATGAACTAAAACATAGCATAATTTGTTTTACCAAAACGTGTACATTGGTCTTTTTTTCTGGAGAATTTCTTTTGCGAGGATGTGTTACTGAGGCATAAAGGGTGTTTCATAATAACTGAGAATACAGTGTTAATGATATTTTTCATACTTTTGTTTGACCGATAGAGCTGAAATTTTTACGACATATAGAACTAATCAAGATCTTTTAGTTCTGAAAGTTTCAGCTCTCTAGCTATGACTAACGATAAAAGACATTGATCGCATTGAAATACATGAGTTTTCGTATTCAATTCTTTCCTCATTTTTCAGAAAAAATCGAGTACGAAAACTTTTGTATTTTATTATTAGTCACAGTTATAGATATGAAACTTTCAGAACTAACAGATCTTCATCAGCTATATATGCCATGAAAATTTCAGCTCTCTCGGTCAGACAAAAGAATGAAAATATCATTAACGAAAAAGTTGATAAAAAAACATCTGACATGAAGTGACATCTATGTGTAAGGAACCATGACTACAATATAGGCATGATATGTATACCTCTAACTGTATTATATATCCACGTACACGTCATCAATAAAGCTTGAGGAATAGTGCGAAAATATTAGATAGATCAGCAGACTTATTTCGAATAAAAACACTTACTGCATAAAAAAAACTTTGTTTTTCGTTTTTCTCAAAATCAGTTTTTTCGAGTATACTGTTTACGCGGGCACGCCTTTCTTAATAACGGCTCAATAGAGAAGGGATCATTTTGTTTTATTGCATAGGGGACAAGTGGGGCTATATCCTAATAGAGCCCGATTTTTGAATTTCTCTTCTGCTGAAATAAAAAAACTTGGATCTTTCGTTTTGTTTAGCGACTTTTTTGACCATGAATTCGAGAATTTTGCGAAAAACGTTTTTTAAAAAACAAACGAAGGAAAATTCAAAAATCAGACTCTATTAGGATCTAGCCCTAAGAGTACTCTACAATTTAATAACCCCGTCGACATGCTTAGCTAATATCGTTATGTTGAGAATCTTGCTCGCGTAAAGGGTATTTTTGACCAATGAATCGACTAGAGCTTGTCCATATCTTTGAGAGTTGAACGAGATATTTTAACCATAATCTGTCCTAGTCTAGACTAACATTCTCTGAAATTTTGGTTAAAATCGGATGAAAAATAACAAAGTTGATTTCTGAGTTAGGNCTAAACCGAACCTCTCCGAAAGTTTTGGTAAAAAGCGGACGAAAAAAAAAAAAGTTGTTTTTTTGGGGGGGGCCCCCCCCCCCCCCCCCCCCCCTTAAAGAAAGGTGACAACAAAATAAAGATTCTCATTGACTGAAGAAAAGCTAAGAACAAATATCATTGTCTACAAAAATCTGAGCAAAACATTTAATTGGTAGAAGAAAAACCGAGAATAAATCTTATTGATCGAAAAATATTTGAGAAAGAATCTGATTGGTTGTACCTATTCCATTGTGTACAAGCAACCAAACTCTGAAAATAGTGTTTCAAGTCATATAGACAACAAATTCAATACACACTTCGCTTTTCTGAACACCTTTGGTGGATCTTTCTTTCCAAAACTTAGTTTTTATTGACCCTTAACTCACCAATGGATTTTGAATGCAAATGGAGTTCAGATTCGAACTTTCCACCTCGAATTACCTATAGGGAGTCATTTTTCGAAAGGTTCGATTTCTATTGGTTCCTCGGCAACCAATCAGACACCGGACAAACACACAAATTTCCATTGCCAATACTTCATCCTTTCAGGATTGAGAATTATGCCATTTATCTAATGAACAAATAAATGCATAACATTCTTGTTCTATGGGAGACCATATACGTTGTGCTTGAGCAAATTTCTTTGAGAGATATGCAATAGGTCTATCCCCATCTGGATATATTTGCAATAGAACAGCACCAATGCCTTCATCAGATGCATCAGTTTGTACTTTAAATGGGAATCTGTTATTTGAAAGAAGTAATACCAAATCGGTCGTAAGAAAATGTTTAAGTTGTTTGAATCCTATAATTCTTCATTTGTTAATGTAATAATAATTTAGTTTTTGTCCTTTGTTTTGTTGAGTTCTTGTAGTCGAAACAAATTTTCGAAGTGATTCAGCAATTTGAGAAAATTTGGCAATAAATTTTCTGTAATATTCAACTGCTTTAACAAATTTGCAAGCTTCATCTGCAGTTTGTGGTAATCTTGTGTTTAGTAAACCATTGATGTTATTAGGACTTGGACGGATTTCACCATTCTGTAAATTCTGTCCAAGATAATCTGTTTGAGTTTGGGTGATTTTACATTTTTCTGGATTAAGACGAAATCGAGCATTTTTTAATATTGTACAAATATCATTAAGGTGTATTAACTGTTCTTCAAATGTTTTCGAATAAATAATTACATCATCGATATACGCTAATGCATATTTCCATCTTGCAGGTCCTAATATATGATTTATCACACGTTGAAATGTTGCGGGTCCATTGGTAATATCTTGTGGAAGTACCGTAGATTGATAATGATTATCACGAGTTGAAAATGCAGTTTCCGGACAGTCCTCTTTAACGAGAGGTACCTGGAAATAACTAGATTTAAAATCAAATTTGGTATAATATATCGCATCAGATAATTGATCGAATATTTCATCGATTCGAGGATGTGAAAATGCATCTTTAATTGTAATAACATTTAGGCGTCGATAATCAATACAGAATCGCATGGTCTTCTCTTTCGTCTTAACAAGAACAACAGGTGATGACCACAGAGAAGTTGATCCTTCAATTTGTCCACGTTCTAGTAATTTTTGTGTTTCTTGAAATTTAAGTTCTTGATCTTTATTTGAAGCGGGATATTATTTCGAATAAATAGGTGGATGATCATCAGTTCTAATTGCCGATTGTAAAGGAATATTAATAGTTGATCGTGTAGGATCAAATAATATTTTATTTCGTCACAATATATCTTGAATTTCTAACCGATGTTTTTCATTTTCGATATGTTTGGTCGATTCGAGTATGTGCTTTCGAATCTGATCTGAATAACATTGTGCTCGTAAATGTTTCTGTAAATCATTTCCAGATAAAAAATATTCATTATATAAATGACAAATAACATTTAATTTTGTTGAATTCGAGTTGTCTTTCTTGTTGAAGACAGATCTGGTTTTAAAGTTTTTGTAATGTTAAGATGACGATTGAAAATTTTCATTTAAAAAAGAATTTTGTATTGTCGCAGATTCTGTTGTTGTAAATACAGAATATGTTGTTTCACGGGAAATAGTTCCGATTCATGTATTTCTTGATAATATTTGTTGTCGATCTTGAGCATTTATAAGTAGTACCTTGGCTTGATGCTTAGTAATGTTCAATAACGTATGTGGTATGAAAATAAACTTTGATATATGACGTTGATATGGTTCAAATATAAAATCATTAGCATCATTAACTTTACATGCAATATCAACTAATGTTTGTGAATATGAAGGAAGAGTAATTTGGTTGACTAATAATGCTGGATAATTAATTTCGATAGGTTCTACATACGGGATTGAAATTAATTGACCGTGTTTATTAGGAATTGTTAATTTTTTCTGGTTGCCAAAAACATGTACATGATTTGAATTAATCCAATCATTACATAAAAGAATTGATGTAATTAAATTTGTCGCGACGTCAGTAATGACCGAAGCTGTTATATAGTTAATTTTTATTTCTAATTCAATTTGACCGATAATAGTAAGTGATGCTGAATTTGCTGTTTGACATGTTCTGGTTTGATAAGTTAAATTGTTGTGATGAATGATTTTAAGAAAATCTAAACGAATGATTGAACAACCAAAACAACAATATCAATTTATGAATAAGATTACTCCTCGTTCACATTCATTTACAACACAGTGATCCAATTATAAACGGANCTAAACGAATGATTGAGATCGCAAATCCTGTGTCAACAATTGCTTCAGTTGGTTGATCATTAACACGAATCTTGATATAAGCAGGAAAAGATGCTTATTGTTGATGGCTTAATAAATTGACTGGGAACACCGCCATCGTGTGACTCAATTATTGAAAACTTGAAGGCATTGTACAATCACGAATAGTATAATTTTGACGACAATTAAAACATCCGGTTGTCTGTTTATGAAAACAATCAATGGTTTGGTGAGTTTGTTGACCACATTTTGTACAATGATTAAATGATTGTTGTGATCTTAATTGATTATTAATATAATTTTTATATTTAAATTCATGTTGGTGTGCCATCATGTTGGATGTTTTTATGAGGTGTAAATGTTGATCGAGATTCATATTGATAATTCGAGTTCCGTTTATAATTGGATCACTGTGTTGTAAATGAATGTGAACGAGGAGTAATCTTATTCATAAATTGATATTGTTGTTTTGGTTGTTCAATCATAGTCGTCGATGAAGAAATTTGTTGATGATTAATTGCAAAATAAAGTTTTGTAGATTCTATTGATAGTCGATGAAATTTTTCAAATGTGTCATATAAATCTTGTTCAATTTTAGCATATCTTAAAAATTCATTTAATGTATTCATAGACGATCTACGTCGAGAAAGTTCTTTCTGAAAATCAGGATTAATTCCACTCATTAAATGTTGAATCATAATTTGTTCTGACATATGTGGATCAATTTCTTTACATAGATTAACCACATCATCAAAATAAGATGTAATCGGTTCATCATGAAATTATTTTCGTTATTTTAATAAATCGAATTTTTTGTGAATCATTGTTGATGAGAAATAACGATTTCGAAATGCAATTTCAAAATCTGACCATTTTTGGAAATCATGTTCATGATTATCGAACCATAATCCTGCTGATTGAATTAATTTGCCACGAACGATTTCGAGAATTTCATGGTTGTCTGATTCATCATTTGCCTTCGTAATATTCTTAATGCTTTTTAAAAAATGTTCGACATCCTCAGGAGGATGGCCAGAGAAATTTGGTAGGTCATCGAATCTAGCTTTTCAAGCTTTAGCTAATAATGTTGAATCAGTCATTTGATTTATATTTGTATGTGATATTGAACCTATTGAAGGATTATATCTTGATATTGTATGAGATAATGAATTTGTAATTATTGTGTATGGTAATAGCTTTGTATTATTTTTCTTAATTTGCAATCTTGTTCCCGTAGCCATTATGAATATATTATAATTGTAAGGATTAATGTCAATGCAAGTGAATAGGTATATGAATAAATGGAATGCAAAACAAATGAACGAAATTCTTCTTAGAATCTCTGTTTACAATTATTCAACCCAAGAAATCTCTATGATTTATTTTATGTTGATTTCTCCCCCCTTTTAGTTTAGAATTTAATGTCCAAAAAAAGATTATGTAATATAAATTTCTTGTTTGAAATTCAAAAAAATATACGGTTTACTCAAAAATATTCCTGATAGTCTTTGAATGTATGATATCATTGATTAGAAAAGAATTTTCTCTCCCATTGATGAAATACTATATTTAAATATCAATTAAATAATATAATGTATTCAAAAAATTCCAAGTCTCTATATCAAAAGGCTTTTATATGAATTTAGACGAGTCGATATTCACGAGAGGCTCTGATGAAAATAAGTGGTATCTTGATGAAATGAACTAATAATTGATTCTTGCTTGATAATGTTGATTTTTATTTTATTTTATTTTTATTTTTATTTTTATTTTTTTATTATTTTATTATTTTTCGTTTGGTTGTTGTTTTACAGGGTCGCCAATTGTTAAGGTTAGATGTGTACCTTTTCGATACGTATGCTTGTACCCTAACTTTATTTAACAACTCATGTGAAACTCAAACGCATATCACACGCGTTTAAGTGCGTTTTAAATGCGTCTAGACGCGATTATGTTACAAAACATTAATGGGACGCGTTTACTCGCGTTTCCATAATGCATCTGGATGCGTTCGAATCAATGACCGCGTCTAGACGCTTGTGTAAGACAAAACGCGTTTCATATTTGTATGAGGTTAAAGCGCCCTTGAACGCGTCCGAAGTAGCGACCGCGTTCACTCTCGTTTCAAAGATGCATCTGAATGCGATCGAATCAGTGGCTGCATCTAGACGCATCTAAAGCAGAAACGTGTCTCACAATTGTAAAGATAAAGACGTGATTGATCACTTTTTGAACTCATGGACGCATGCAGATGCATCCTAAAAGCATGAGCATAGGCTTTTTCGAACTCGTCTATGAGAAATTACAATCTTCTTCGCAAAAGACAACAATTTTAAATCATATACAGCACATTCCAATCAAAGAATCAGATAATTCGGTGTAGAAGAATATTATTTGAATGAAATTACATCAGTCATTTTTTCTAAAGTATCTCGAGATCATGTATTCTGGAAGAAGGAAATCAATTTTGATTTTACTCTATGGTATGAGAATAAGAGGGTTCAGATTTATTGTGAATTTTATTGATATCTACTTTTACCATAACATATATTCAATATAATTTACGCACGAAAAATGTACATGTTAGTCTAGTTATTGTGTAATTTGAACGATTCCGATTTTTCCGTTTGCTTTTCTACTATATATCATTGTATAGAAGCTAATGTTTTGATCTACATTGAAACATCATATAAGTAAATACCCATCAATATGTTTTTTTATTTGATAGTTCGAGTCGTTTATTGTAAATTCGATTGTCATTAAAATCTGAAAGTTTGATTAAGCTAAATTCAATATGAAACTGTGACATCTCTCATTAAAAACATAGTGAATACGATTTTCTGCTTGAAATATGAAAAATTGTTTTTATATAATGGGCTTCTTTCAATTTTTTATATAATTCTGAATAGAACATTACTTTAGAAATGTTAAAAGTTAAATTTTACCATCACATATAAATGTGTTTTGATGGCAATCCAAAACCAAAAGAAACCTAAACTTTTGGTTTACGTCTTATACATGCTAGATGATAAAATTGCTCGCAACGATGATGTTGTTGAAGTATGATACATTGAATCGACTGAGATCGTTACATGATCTGAAAACCTCAGTATTCTATTTTAAAACTAGACTTGTTCTGTGCATTCGAATGACTGAAAAACAGTCGTGAAAAAAGATTAAAAAGTCATACTAACTGTTTATTTCTTCTCGATTGAACCGGTATTTTATCTTATGATTGGCGACAGACACAAATAAGCCGATATTTTAGATCTTAACAACGATAGCGCCACATGATTAAACAGAGAAAGCATTATTGATGAGGCAATGATTGAATATATTCAAATTTCGAAACACGAAAGAAGTTTTATATAGAATGGTATTAAACACATAACACTATATGTTAGACTCTTTCAACAACCTAAAACTATTCTATCATGAAAATAGTAATAAACAATCGATACTATTGTTGCTTATCCATTCATTGTGCGAGTACTTGATTCTTTTTTCGTAGAGAAAATTCACGCTAATGATTTGAATTACTCGATTCATTGACAGCTAAATTAGAATGACATCCTTGGCTGATTTAACAAACAACAAGTGAAGTATATAGCACATCTTGTTTTACTTAGTCTTATACAATAAAAATGTGAAATGTAGAAATTTTATTTTTGTTTACATGTTATTCATATGAAATAAACAGTTAGTATGACTTTTTAATCTTTTTTCAC